GGAAGATGCTGTCAGACAAGAGCCGGCACCGCACCGAGCCACGCGTGCAGCAACGCTTGGCCCGCCTTTGCTTTTCACGCGGCAGTGCTGCTCTCAGCCCTTGCCATCGTTTTGATTTGTTAATTTTTTTGTTGTGAGATGGAACCGGGAGCAAAAGAGTCAGGCAGGCTTAAAACTTAAAAGGGTATAAAAAAATTAACTACACAAAGAAAAAGAAAGAAAAGCAAATTTAGAATAAGATTTTCAGACCACTCTTTCCTCCCTTCTCCTAATCTTTAATAACAACAAGACAAACAAACAAAAACCAAATTCAGTCAGCTCCTAACTTAAATAGTCCTTTTAAAATTTACTTCGGAGAGAGAAGTTTTCTCTTGTCAGGCTGTAGGGACTTTTAATTGGTCTCATTAACTCCCAGAGGAAGCTCTCATCGAGAGAACTTCTCTCTGAGTGTGTTCTCCCCAGGTGAAAGCAGCACACCCCTCTTTTCCTGCCTCGCAGCCGGGGGTTCTGTTTTTGCAGCCCGTTCCCTCCTGCCCCAGCAGCCGGGCTTGGGCTCAGTGCCACACTGTGCTGTGAGAGCAGGGCACAGGGAGGGGACGGGTGTTTTACCCACGGCCTGGACAAGACTATTTATTTATCTTAAACTAAGATTTCAGGGTAGTTTGCTAGTACTGAAATTGCATTTAAAGGTTTAAGTTCTGTTTTCTCCCTAATTTTACACTGCAGTAGCCCAAATTTTCACTCTTTTGTTTCTTCCCCCTAACGAAAGTTTTGAGAAACTCAGTAATAAACAGACTTTAAAAGTGGGTTCTGAGTATAAATCCCTTGGGGTCACTTCCCTAAAAAATGCACAGTAACCAGTGGTTCCCAGCATATATCACAGGGTGGGTTTTTACACAGAAGTGTTACAGTTTAAAAAAAGAGATAAGGACCTACCACTTCACAACATGTAACTACAAAGAAACTGTATAAAAATATAACATATTAGTAACAAATACATCAATTATTGAAGCCAAACAAAACCAAAAAAGCTATGGTAAGGCAAACTCCTTCCTGCAAAAACACAGTTTATTTTTGTATTTTTGGGAAGGTCTAATTGAAGAGCCTCCTTTGTTTGAACTCTGACTCTCTTATCAGCTTAAATAATTTATGTATTTTTATGTAAAGGAAAATGACTCTCAGACTCCTCTCTATTCTTTACATGAAACAACAAAAAATTACACACAAAAAGGGCCGTTAGCCCATTTTAAAAGTGCATGAAACAAATTGCAATTACCTACTCCACAATCTGCAGCAGCAAACACAGCTGACACACTCAAAGCCCAGCTGAGCACCTGGCAAACGGAGCTGAAGCTTCCCAACAAACTTATGCCTTTGTGGCATTCCTCCTATCAGTGCAGAGGGGGAAAAAAAATCTATATCCAAAGAGAAAGCACAGATAATGAGCTATCAGATGGAGAAAGAAGCTGATTTGCAGGTCCTGAATATTTTATTGCCTCCTAGTTTAAAAGAGATTTAAATCTACTTGATGCAAGAGGGAACTATTAGAGCTCAAACCAGTGGTAGGACACTTACAAAATTAATACCTGCTGCTTTCACAAATTCACTTGGCACTCTTCAGAGCAAGGAATTCAAGTGTTGTTCACACACAGCACTGCAATAAACTCACTCCTGTACAGAAGCTGGGGAGAAGGGAAGAGGCAGAGTGGAACAAACCAGCACTTGGTTTCCACAACTTCAAACCAGGGCAAGGCATTAATCTGCAGAGCCTTATTAAGAAATGCTAATGAGGACACTGGTACTGTGCCCACCTCCTGTAACCTGGAAAACAGCTGAAGGAAGATCATTATTTTTATCTCCATTTTACAGGTGGTGACTGCCAGAGAAAGACGTGGGGACACGCTCAAGGTGCCCAGCCTGTGGAGCCAGGAGCAGCCAGAGAATTTCCCAGTCCCAGCTCAGGGCATATCAGATTCCAGAACATGTTCAGATTGGTTTTACTAAGCTGCACTGTTCTGCCAGTACATCCTACCGCTAAGCTGCTCCTTTAAAAAACAAACAGCCTCAAAGTAAACAATAAGGAAAAAGCAATCACGGGCAGAGTGCTCCCACACCCCAGAGATGGAGGGAATGGGCTGGGGACTACAAACACAGTAGAAAGTTCATAAATGTGAACTACTAAGAGATGCTCTCTGTTTAAAACAAACCATTTTCCCTCCTCCATCTGTGTTTAGCTCGTATAATTTCATATTATCAGTTTTATTAAATCTTAGCCAAGCAGAAGAATTCAAATGCTTTGAATTTTTACGTATTTTGTCATCCCTCCATTAGCGGCTCACAGGATCCCCCTTTCTAGATGATAATGAAGGTTTTTTAAAAACAAGCCAGCATGCCGACATAAAGGAAAATTACGAGACAGTAAAAACCAGCAGCTGTTACAAAAGGTGGTAAAGGAAGCAAATTAAACTTTAGCCCATTAAGTTGGTAAGGTAACAGAGAGCTTCATCACATCAAAACCACAATAATACCACTGTCCCACTGCCCACACACACACAACTTGGGCCAGAAAGGGTGCTTGCCCACAAAACTGCATTCCCAAATAACCAGGCAGGCAGGGAATCACCTTGTGCTTTCTGCACTCCTTTCTCAGAGCCTGTTACAGCTGCTGATTGACAGTTGCCAGAATTGGCTGCTGCCCGCTGCACATAAACACTAATTGCTAAAACACACACAGATTAATTGTAACCACAACAAGACATTAAATGTTCCTCAAAAGCCAAGATTAGAGACACAGTGAAATAGATGCTTCAGAGCTTCCAGTATTTATAGCTGATGTAATCTAATCAAACACACATTATGGCAAAATAAATATCCACTTAGTCACATAAGTACTAAAATACTCTCAGCACACCAAAACCCAAAAAATGCACCAAGTTCCTTTCCACAGTGCCTCCAAAACCACTTCTCTTTTCTCTAGAATGCAGCTCCTTTTAACAAGATTTAGCCAAAGAATGATATGAATCGAAAGCATCCGTCACTTCCCAGTAATCCGAATTGTTTACTCCGGCTTTGCTCAATGAGCTTCTATTCTGCAATTCTTCACTGCCACGGCCCCGGAGCTCCATCCCAGCCCTCTAGAGCTCGTTTTTCACCCTGCTGGGACAGCCCCTGCGACTGCAGGGCTCCACACGCAGGAAATCCCGAGCTAAACACGGGATTAATGCTGCTTGGGAAACTGAGCTCATTAGTCTCTTTAGCAAATCATTATTTTGCAGTTATTCTATTACACCAGCCTACTTTCCAAAACACGGAAGCTTTAGAAAAGCTTTCTTAAATTTGTTGACTTGGATGAATGTTTTATTGTTAGCTTTTATTGTCAAATAAAACACAGAGCCTATTTTTTGACAATTTTGGCAACAGTACTTCCATGCAATTCTGAAAACAACAGTAAAGTTCTCATCTCCACATGAAGCATCACATAACAGGGATACAAGGACTGCAAGCACCTTCTCACAGAGGTCACCCATGCCAGCTGAGCTCAAAACACACTTCATCCCCAGCCACACAGACCAGGCAGGCTTTAACAGATCCATGAAGAGGAATAAACCTCACACCAGGACAACAGGAGCAGTACAATATTCCCAGCACACCCAGGGTAGCTGCTGTGTGAGCTCTGGAAGTCCTATAAACCGAGCTCCTGTCACAAACCCAGGAATGGGAAAAGCAAGTTGCACTAGTCACAGAAAATCAAGCACTGCAGACATCTATCTGGCAGCCCCTTGGAAAGGGCTGTGGCACAAATCAAAGCAATGCAATGTACTTAAAGTATCCAAATGTTAATGTGATAATTTATTTTCAAAGATCTAGGAGGAAGCTGACAGTAAAAAGCATTAAACCTAGTCCAACAACTGAACAAAACACACATGCCATCTCAGAAACAGCAAGGGAAAGCTCCATTTTAAAGACTCCATTTACTACCTTAATTAATTACTTTAATACACAAACCATTTTTTTTCTCTTGTATTTCTTCTCCCTGCTTCTGTCATTTTTTTTTCTCATTACAGCTTAAATTCAGCTGTTACCAAAGTACCTCCTCAGCGTCTGCTTCTCTCACACCACTTATTTTTTGTTTGTATTGTGTTTTAACCTTCTCAGTAAACCCCCAGTGGAGTTTCCCAGACTCCCAATGCTATTATTCTCTTTCAGAGTTCTTTTTTTTTTAATTATTTTTTCCCCTTTTCATCTTTTATTCCTGCTCTCTCATGTAGACAGTTGAACATCTAGAAATCAGTAACTGGAGAACTAAACCCATGAGAAGAGAGAAAGGCGTGAATAAAAGCCATACAGGGTTGCATCTGCTGCTGGAAAACTCAAAGCAGAAATAAGCTTTTTCCCCAAGAAATAAAGACAACGTTTTGCCAGGTTGCTCTTTCTCAATACTGCTCTTTTCATTGCAGTCTCGAGGTAAGAGGGGATCAAGAAATCTGTCACCTTCTCTTCAAAGCCCCGCTCAGTGTGGCAGGAGCTCAAAGCAGGGATGTTTCTCCCTCGGTGTCCTGAATCTCTGGGGTCGTGTGGCAGAGCCAGCCACAGGTACAGGAGTCCTTCAAAGGAGGGCAACGGTGCCTCACTTATCATTTACAGAGCTTTAAACAGCTCCTTTGTGTTTCTCCATCACCCTGGCACATTTCAGGAGTCTTTGAGGAGCCCTCCCAACCCCACTGGAATGCAGAGGTGTTTCATGAGCCATTCCTCCAGCACACCCTTCTGAACTGCAGGTCTCAGCACCCAGCACCTGCAGGAAATTCTCTGCAAGTCCCACAGCCTCAAAGACAATGGCAACTCAATGGCCACAAGGAGCTCCTGAGCCTTCCTGTAGCTCACCCCACGTGCAGGACCCAATCTGGCAGAATTAGGATGGAAAAG